TTTTATAAAATGGAGTTGGATATACATCATGCGTGCACTAACTCCTTACAAGAAGTAACAATCATGAATAAGCACCACCATATTAATCCTGCATGCTTCCTGTAAATGCAGAAATACTCCAATTGCATTCTGCTCTGTACTGCATCCTGTACATGTAATAATGACTCACAAAAAATTGGGTACATTATCAGAAAATATTCACAACCAATCATCTTGCTCATTTTGAGATGAATTGTCATTTTCATGTGCATGTATATCATGATCAGGGGGATCTTCTGTATCACTACATGTATCTTCACTACTGGAATGTGACTCATTGGATTCAGAATCAATATCATCCTGAAAAATTTCAGGTTTATCTACCACTACTGGAACATTCTCACAGTTTCGACAAGTGCAGCCAGGTCCACATCGTTGATTATTTTTTTGGCACTTACACTGTCTATTGAGGCACTTATTTTTGTTACAACTGCAACCTCTTGTCAAATGGTACACATTTTTCCGGACTCTCTCCATATTGTCTGAAGAGTCCCAAACAATACAAATATCACGAGCATCATTTTCAGACTGTGCCCAGCCATAACATTTGACATCAGGGTAGTCAAACACAGGTTGAAGGGCACTGCCCCATACACTGCTAACCCAACATGATCTTAACCAGTGCAAAGACAAAGCAGTATCTGATGGTAGTAAGGTATCTTCATATTCACCTTTCCATGATGCTTTACGAATAATAGACAAAAACTTGTAATGTTGATCAAGTGATGTGGTTTCCTGTATACTGTCAAACAGTTCGACAGGGTTGTTGGCATGCTGAGTGAGGCAAGCACGATTAGCTTGAAAGTAGACACAACCAACAAGTCGATAAAATGAAAGAAGGCCTTCTTTGTGATTAACATTTAGATTAGTATTACTTAAATGACCCCCCGTTTGGGGGTCATTTCCTGAAATAAATGCAGCGAACTGAAAGAAAACTCTGAAAAATGTAGATTTACCAAGTCTGGCAAAGTAAGAGACAAAGTCACATCCAGTACAAATGTACAGAACCTGGATTATTTTACAGATGTCACAGCCACTGGCAACAAGCCCTGCCAAGTCTGGATCATTTTTAAGAGCTGACTGAAGATTATTCAAGTGTAAATACTTCTCATTGGTTGCTGATGCTTTATACTGGATTATAATGGATTTACCATCAAAGACGAGGGGTAAACCAATCATTCCTATATCTCTGTCTACAGAATAAATATGTATGACAGAACATTTTGTGTCGGCAACATGCAACCAAATCTGCGTATCTGTTTCTTCATGGTTGTGAAAAATTGTATGATGCTGTACACCTGCCTTTGTTACATACTTGCCAGTCCATTCATTTGAACCTGGCCTATTAGGTTCAAAACCACCTGAAGTAACAAAAATCTGGTCTTCTGTTAGGATTGATGAAGACACAATTTCAATAAATTTGTTAGACAGATAATTACAAAGCAATCGCTTATTCTGTCTAACTTTCAGAAACTTGGACCAGCTTGGTGGTAGATTTGTTTGATCATGTATGTCATCATACACCACCACATCATCATCATCATCATACATGTATGTTTGGATATCTCTTCTTTCTCTCTCAAATCCTTTTGGAGAAACGCCCTGAGAACACACCTGGTCAAAAAGAATTCTGACTTCTTTGTATTGTTTTCTAAAATAGGGTTTAATCCACCTTGAAACAATAAACATTGCATACTCCCAGAAAAATTTGAATCCAGACAGTGGATTAGTATATATTATATTCATCCCTTCTGCAATTAGACATGCGCCTGTATTGAAAACATGAGAATCTGTGATAAGACAACAAGTTGCTTCATATCGTTTCCCAAAAAAGTCATATATCACATATTTTGCTCCTTTGTACGGCATACCTGATGGGGTGCAAAGAGCTCTAGGTGTTTCTACAAACTGCAAAAGTTGATTGATCGGTAGATTGTGCTCCTGTGAATAGGCTATTGTGCGCTTGTAACAAAGTGTTACCATTTTTTTTTCCTTTTCAATGAGATTAATTTTTCTCTTGGTCACTTTTTCTTTTGCAAAAGTGCGAAGCTGATGTCGTCTAATGACTGGTTTGTTGACACTGGGATCTTTCAAAATACATGATCGAACATAGTTATGTAACGCTACTGTTCCGATATCTCTGAAGCCAAGCAGGGCCTTTTGCTGGACTTTATTGGCAGGTGTGTGATCAAAAACACTGTGTAAAGTTGGTGACTGGTCAGCATTAAATATAGAACTCGCAGACACTTTGGAGAAGTAAACCTTCACATTTTTTAGCTCTGATGCTATAACTGAAGGTGACATATCTCTTTGAAAAGGGTGTGCAAGAACAGAAAGGGCAAGCTGGTTGTGGAAACTGTTAATTAATTGGCCCTGAAATTCTAGTGTACCTGCCATTTTTTCCATGTTAGTTGGCAAGCCACGAGAAAGGGCTATTTTACAGTCCTTATTGATGAGCATTTCATGCGCTTCATCAAACCCCACTGAAGAGAAATTTGCTCCTCGAATACTTGAAACGAAACCGCCATTTTCAAAGTGTTTTGCAATGTAAGATGGAAGACCATACATTTGACTGAGATGAATGGGTATTAACTTAGAATAGTTCTGTCTATCAAATGCAAAGAACAATGGGGCCATTCTTTTTAAAGCACAAAGTCGCATTTGCCAGTTGCCACTTCTCATTGCAATCCACAGCTGAATATAACAGAAACAGTCTTCTTTCAAAAATCTGTTCCAAAATTTGAATGTTTCAAACTTCTCTGTCATATTGTTGCAATACTCATTAAACTCTTCAAGCACAGATGGAAGGATGTTGTGAAGTTTGACATGAATGCCAGAAACAAACTCTTGCATATTTGAATAATCGCATGAGTCACCATGCACTTGTAACTGCTGAACAATATCAATGACCATTTCCTGCAATTTTTCATTTGTGATTACACACCGGTCGTATTGTTCATGTCCCATTCTAAAGTCTAGAAAGCATTTGAACTGATGAATATAAAATGCTTCGTAGACTTGCAGAATGAATCGATGTGTCCTTTTGAAATTGCTACAAGATTTCATATTTCTCAGAGTTCCACCCTTGTGTGTTAACCTGGCAATATCTTTTAAGCCTGCATCCCAAAATACTTTCATCAAAACCTCTTGAAAATTTTTCAAAATATGCCAGTCACCAATATATGGAACAACCCAGTCCAAAACTTCACCGTATTCCTTTTTAACATCAAGCAGAATTCGAAATGTTGCACCATCTCCTAACACTACAAGGTGATTGACAGATTTGGAAATGTGAAACAGATCGTACAGCAAGCTAACAACAGACTTAATAGTCAAGGCACTATCCGCCTTCTCATTCAAGACATACAAATAGGAAAATTTGGATTGTTCACACTCACTTTGTGCATGCAGAACCATGTTGCACTTCAAGCCTGGGATAACATTTTGAGTCTTCCCTGAAACTGTAACATGACGTTCAACAATGTACATGAACACATCATAAGAGAGTTTTTTTTCCACCTCTCTTTCTCCCTCTGTTGGTGAAAAATTCTCAAATGAAAGTTGCTGAGGAATGAAGGTTTTATAAAGCGGAGTAGAGAAATAAGTCCTCTCATGCAGTGGAATATCCAATTTGGTTACCTGCCTTCTTACAGAAGGCTTTTTAGTCACTCCCTCAATGGTTTTCTCTTGGAATGAAGTTCCATTATTTCCTGAGGATGTCACCAGTGCATGTTCATGAACATCTTGAATATCTGAAGTGCCTGGGTTATGTTCCACAGCCATTGGCATGTATGCCAACAACATGTCCATTAATTCAATTTTTTGCTCAGCATTATAATTCAACTGCATAGGGATAGTTGCATGGCTGTCGAAGTCAATTAATGAGTGACAGTTTGGTCGACAAGTACTAGAGAGCAACAAATCAAAATGGCCTGCTGCACTTGCTGAATCAGGACGGTACAGCAAACAAATGTGATGGCCTGAATGCTGGTCTATAGGATACTTGGCTACAAGTTTTATCCCCTCAACTGAGCGCTGGTAAATATGAATGTCAATTTGACAAATTGAAGCAAGGGCACAAATTTCTAGACATCCTCCATAAGTTCCTGGGAAATGCTCATCTTCAATACGGGCTACAAATGATGCATAAAAAGTGTTGGGAGACGACTCCAACAAAAACTGCTTGACACCAACAGGAAGCGTCTCCAAGTACGCAATGTTTAGGCTAAGAAAATCACAAACTGCATGCCTCAGGTTGTCTGCTAGTATCTCCTCCAAGAAAACATTAGTATCACTGGGAATACCAAAAGCGTTTCTGTCACAGTGCAAAATATCATAATTGCTAAATGCTGCAACACATCTGAAAAGGCAGCGCCCATCACCATAAATTGGGATGACATGGAAATCTGGAAGATTTTTTGCATCACCAAGTATCTCATTATCAAGACAAAGCTTTTCAGTGATAGGTTTAGGTTGCTGGGCCATGACCGATGTACCATGCCAGCTTCTTTGTGTCTTTTCAGAACTTATGGCAGCATGAGTAGATTGTGCATCTATATTGTCTATACTTACAACTGTAAAGGAGTATTCTTCTAAAGTTGAAAGCACACCTGCTTTTTGTCTAATCTCCTTTATATTCTCCAAAAACCTATCAAGTGTATCCTCAGATACACAAAAGCCGGACTGATTTAATAACCTCAACAGTTTTGAGGAATGTGACAACCTTTTCACACAATTAGCAACAACAATATGTAAGGGACAATTGTTACTTTCATTTAAAACAAACTGCATATACATGGTTAGAATGATTCTTCTGTTTCTGCGTTGCTTCCCGTGTGATTTGGAATAGCCAGGAAACATGATTTTTTCTTTGTCCCACATAAATGGTACGTTATTGGAATACTGGAGTTCATCCACAGTAGCAGTTGTAATAGATATCATATTCCACACTAACGGATCAATCATATCTAGCACAGATTCGAATGTAAAGGAAGCAACCTCTGTAGGATTCTTGGTAAAATAATCCGTAATCTCCTTTGCCTGTTGCTTAAGTTTTTCATTGACTTTAGCAAGTAGACCTTCATTAGTGCAATCTAAATGGACACCTGATTGACGCATAAATACAGATGTGCTACCATCATTTATGTCAGAATGCGAATGCTCAGGATCTTTCCTTTTCTGAAATCGTAATCTCGCACAAGCCAAATGAAGTGCCTTTTTCATGTCCAGGTCTTTGTACATTAACAAGATGCCAAACTTAGGTGCTGGCATCTTGTGGCAATCCAACAAATTGCCGAATTTTTCAATTAACCCAGACAACATCCACCTACTGGTCCTTTTGCACGAATCAAAGCAATTGTCTGACTGACAGCAAAGAGTATTCAGGTAAGGAATGAAAACTTCTTCATAAATATCTACAAGGAGAAAGGCTTCATTGTTGTGGAAACGATTACACATTTCTATGGCAGCCTTCAACAGAGCAGATCTACTATGCGACATATCCCCAATGTCCTTTACATTTTCAAGAAAACTTGATTCAAGATCATCAAGGGATAAATCTGGAATTTCCACCCTCTTTGACACAGAATAACACATGTAACATAGAGTGCTGTCAGAAGTTAAAGTTGTCTCATTTTTGTCTAATTGAAGCATCAAGTAAGCATTCTCAATGTTAATATTTGCACATGAGTAAGTTCTTAATTTAGACGCCAAATAAATTCCACAAGCTGCACAATTTGTAGCTGCACCAAAATTATACACATGTGATTTATGAGGCCTGCAAAGTGGTACATCATTTGGCAGCTCAGCCAAGTCGAGATTTGGGAAACAGGCTTTGAGTTGTTCTAATGTGTATGAGCAATCACACACAGAAGCACTATTACATAACTCAAAGTTGGCTAGAAAGCACATAGGTCTCGTTTTGGTTCTTGTTTTTTCAGGTGTGTAAGTGGGGGTTTTCAGTTTTTTGATATACTTATGGCGGCAAGCATTGCAAATACAATCCGTATCTGACAATTCTGGCAAGTGGGTATGCATAAATGATTTCAGATTTTCATTCTTAGTTTTTATGAGATGAATCCATCTTAATGATGTACGGCCACAAATCTGACATGGACCACAAACAGATTTTTTACAAGGAGGCATTCCTCCTTTCACATTTTTCACCCCTGCAAAGGTTTGCATTTACATGTACAAAATCTGCAAAAATAAATACCAGATGCTGTGCCTGCAGTTCCTGGGGCAGGTTGCTGTGATGAGGGGGACGGCTCTTCGGCTGCATCACCGGTAGACTGCCATCCTGGCTGGACAGCAGTTCCTGGGGCAGGTTGCTGCCGTTGCTGTGATGGGGGGGACGGCTCTTCGGCTGCATCACCGGTAGACTGCCATCCTGGCTGGACAGCAGTTCCTGGGGCAGGTTGCTCTGATGGGAGGGGCAGCTGTTTGAAAGCTGCCAGTTGCCAGCTGTATTGTACACATGTGGTTATCTCCAACAGCTGAGATCCAAGCTGAAAGGAAAAAATGACAATCATAAATTTTGGAAGATCACCAATCAAAACCAAAAATATCTGAATAGTGTTTAGCTTCAATTAATACCAGAATCAAAAAGTTGATTACAACAATTGATTTGTCTGTAAGAGTAGATTCGAGTAGCAAGAAGATTTAAAATTATTTCCCCACTGTTAACAGTGGTTTTGAGTGAGAATGTCAAGATATTACAAAACCATTACTATGCAACAGTTGTTGCCTGAATATTTCAACAGACTTGTTACTCTAATGGCATTTTTAAACATTAAAATTAGTTTTCACAAGGCATAGTTGGGCAATATTTTTGTGAGTAAACACAAAGAGAGACTTTTTTCCAACAACTTTAGCATGAAGAAAAAAAAAAAATTCATTTCTATTTCTATTCAAACCTTGCGCTTTCGCCGTCGTCTTCTCTTCTTCGTACGTTTCTGCACCAAGTGTCTCCTCTTGGCTTGCCTCCGGGATGCAACATAGGGAGAATTTGGTTTTGGCAAGGAAACGCCATTCCCGAATTCCCTGGAGCAATGTGTCGGACCATGCACTTGAGAGTATGCAATATGTGCCATTGCACTGTCCGGCTTGTCAGCAGGGGTAGATTTCGGCTTAAATGGAGCTAGCCCATGTATCTTGAAATCCTCACCCTGGACATTAATGCTGATCCGCCTCATCCTCTTCTTTACCGACGAAACAGACGGCATCTTCATTCGTCTTGGTTGGCTTGCACAACCAATGTCCTTGGGAGGAGGAAGCATAGAGGGACGCAATTTGGTTGTTTCTGCTGGAGTTGACTTGGGCTTCTTCACCCGCATTGGTCTCCGTACCAACCTGCGCAGCTCTGGAGGCACAAACCGTCTTGTGTCGTTGCAGGAGCTTTTTCCAGAAATTGGTGAAAGCATCCTGGCATATCTCTCTAGATGGCCCTCAACCACCGCACCAAGTAGGGAATTCCCATCCCAATTCAAGTGAAGGCCATCTCTGGCAAAATGCCAATCTTGAAACTTGTCGCTACTGTCAAAGAAATGACAACCAAGCTGCCCACAAACATTCCCCAAGTGAATGTTATGGCTCACACGTGAGGCATCCAAACTTTCACTGTCCTGCCGAGGAAGAATTCCACTGAACACCAGCTTAGCAGTTGGAAAGATCTCGCGTATGGT